GCTCTTGCTAAGACCTGCAGGACTCTTGCTGTAGACTTGCCAAGCAAATTTGCTACAAATTCAAAAAGTGTCAACTAGAACTTGAGCTGCGAGTGTTCTGCAAGTCTACAACTTGCCAGGAATGTGTGCAGCAACTTAACAAGAATTACAATTGAACCCTGCCAGAAGTTTGTGGCAAGTTATCCTTGCTATCCGGGTTCTAGCAGTCTGCAGGGTCTCAAGGAGTTGTGCAGAGTCTGTGGTGGTGGTGGTGCTGCAGAGTCAACCAAAGACCCCACAGAGCCCACCACAGATCCTGCACAGCCCACCTGAGACTTTCAGGTGGGCTGTGCAGAATCTATGCTGGGCTCCGCAGGGTCCCTTTAACAGCAGTGTGATTCTCTTACCTGCCTCTGCTGCCCGCTGCTGGACCTGGCCTCCTTCTCCACCGGACCACTGGTGCTGCGGGCACCCGGCCTCCTTCACCGCCCGACTGGCACTTCCGGATCCCTTCCTCCTCAACGCCCAACCAGCGATTTGGGACCGGCTTCTTCCTTCGACCCACGGGAATCTGGACCGCCCCCCGACGGGGATCCGGATCCACCCCTTCTGCTGCTCCTCCTTGCCTTCACCTTCTCTTCCTCTTCCTGCTCAATTAGGCAGCCGAGGCTCATCGGTGGATCCAGGGATCAGGTGAGTATAAAAAAAAATACATTTTTTTTAAATGTTATGTTCCTGGGGACATTTCCGGGGACATAATTTGTTCGGGGATGGTCTCCTCAATCTAGGGACTCTCCCCGGAAATCAGGGACAAATGGTCACCCTATCTAAAAGGGAAGGACCGGTGATACACAGGTACAGGTAGTAACAGTGTGGGCATGATTCTATGTGTGAGGTATATCGTTGTGGGGAATCTATGTTTAAAAACTAAAAATACATTTCTATTTCTATATTGAATTTCAAGAAGTTCTATCCCACTCCTAATAACCACATCCATCTAGAAGTTTCTAAAGTTAAACACAATTTTACTCAGCCCTGTGAATATGCACTTCCTTGTGTTACAACTTTCACAGAGCCTGCCTTCTGAACTACAACTTACAGCGGAACTTTACACTCAAACATCAAATTCTACCAATGCATCCCTCTATGTATGATGATTAGTAATAACATCGACATGTCAGGTGTAAAATGTTGTGATTGTGAAATACACTTGCAGAGCATTCACTTCCTGCTTTGAAAGGCAAAATGACTTCAGTTTGGCAAAGCAATGCACACTGGGATTGCCTTGTCATCAGCAGAGCATTGCAGAGAAATCTCCTCTGTAATGTCAGTAGATCTCTTGGAAAGGCATTTTCTTCCCCTGAGTTGATGTGCATGGTCACATGTCCTAGTCACATGTGGCAGAAATCCAGGAAGTAAAGGGAGATCTAGTAATCTGCACTTAGTAAACATGACCACTGTCAGAAGACTGGGGAGGAAAAGAGAAATAAGGTATACAAAGAATACAAAGCTGGCAATTATCTAGAAGTATGTGTTTGTAGATTGTCATTACTAAACATTTCTAAAGGTGTGTTTGTTGTTATTTTAAATATATTGGTAAAGGTCTGCTTTAATTTCTGAATATAACATTATCATTGCATGCTGAAAGTAATGCATGATAGGATATGTAGTCTTGAGAAATTAAGATTATATCACATCAAACCGCAGGGAAAAAGACGCAAAGCACACTGGGAATCCAGGAAGTTGTTAATATTGATGTGTAGATGAAAGGCAGCACTCACTACATAAAAGGGATTTTTCAAGTAAGCTTTGATTGCATTATCAAAAACAACTATTACAATTACAAGTATTTATATAGCGCCAACATATCCTGCAGTGCTGCACAATAATTTAGACAAGACAAGTAAGAAACACTGACAACTCTAGTATGTATTCCTATTACACTGCTGATGTCAGGATAGCATATGCTGGGACTTCACAGCTCCTTTCATTTCCTCTTTGATACTTAGTGGACTTTGATCTGGAGTGTGCATGAAGCCAGTGAAGTCTGAAAAGTTTGAACTCCCATGACAGTCCATGTTCCAGATAGTGAACATAGGATCCTGAAGAAGAGTTAGAACCAAGTTCTCATTGTTGTTTTTGCCCTGGGGCAGACCCCACACCCTTCTTTTCTTCTCTTTCTCCAATCACTGGCCAAATCTGGCCGCCTTCACCTCTGTAACATCAGCAAAATACAGCCCTTCTTAATCAATGAAACCACAAATCTACTAATCCACTCACTTGCAAGTCCCTCCTCATTGGCCTACCTTTACACAGGCTATCCCCCTTCAATCTATCATAAATGCTGCTGCCAGACTCATTCACCTTACCAATCACTCAATGTCTGCAACCTCCCTCTGCCAATCCCTCCACTGGCTTCCAATTGCCTAAAGAATGACATTCTTAAAGTCTAACAACCATTTACTAAGCCATCGACAACTCTGCCTCCGGCTATATCTCCAACCTCCTTTCAAAGTCTTTTTCGCTCCTCTCAAGACCTCTCTAGCTCCCTTGTGACCTCTTCCCATGCTCACCTCCAGGACTTCTCCAGAGTCTCTCCCATCCTCTGGAACTCCCTACCTGTCAGGCTACCTTCTACTCTCTCTGCCTTTAGGCGATCCCTAAAGGCTGATCTCTTCAGGAAAGCTTATCCCACCTCAGCCTAACCACTGAACTATCACTTTCCCCAAACAACTCATCTACACACAGCTATCACCTTTTGTATCACTTGCCCTCCCTTTCAGATGGTAAGCTCTCATGGGCAGGGCCCTCCTAACCATCTTGTCTTGTATTGTCAATATAATGTCTCCCTTTATATTGTAAAGCACTGTGCACATTGTTGATGCTATATAAATCCTGTATAATTATAGTAATCTCCACATAACCTTTTTTCCTGGCTTACCTCATGTCGGCATATTGCGGGTCATCTCCGACCCCTTGACACCCTCAGGACTACTCCTAGCAAGAAGATAAAAGGTGACTATTCACTGAAACAACTGTCCTTTTTTTGTTTGCGCTTTAGGCCACTTCCTGTTATCCTTGTTTTCAGTATATTTGGACAAAAAGTGGGGTTTCAGGAAGACTGACAAGCGGTTTGTGTTGCCAAATGGTCCAAGGCAAGGGATGGTGGCTTCACCTAGAGTGCTTTCTTCTTAGATTAAGTCAGCCTACACCAAACAACTTATCTCCTCTGGCTGTAGTGCAAGCTCATTCTACAAGAGGAGGCTTGGCATCATAGACTTCCAATGCCAAAGTGTCAGAGGAAGATATCTGCAAGACGGCCAAGTGGACTCCCTCAAACACTTTTGTGCGCCATTACAAGCTAGACGTGTCAGCGACTTGGCTGGCTTGATTTGGAATATCGGTCCTTTCTGCAGCCCTAGTGCAATAAATCCTTTTGCAGCATGTTTTTTGTTGTCTTGGTTTGATTTATTTCTTCTCTCCCTATTGTGGGTTCGCTGGTTACATCCCTCAGTATAATGACATGAAGGAGTCAGGAATATGGAAAAATTGTTATCCAGTTCTTACCGTAATTTTTCGTTCCTGGCTCATCCTCATGTCAGCATACGTTCCCTCTCTGGTGTCCTTTCACTAGCTTTGTTATTGAACAGTTGTTTCTGTGGATAGTCGCTTTTTATTTTCTTTCTATGGTTGGTCCTGGGGGGTCAAGGGGGCAGAGATGAGGGCACAGTATGCTGACATTAGGATGAGCCTGGAACATGGAAAATTGTTATCCGATTCTTACGGTAATTTTCCGTTCCTGGGTCATCCTCAGGTCGACATACATTCCCTCCCTGGTGTCCTTTGCTAGCTTTGTTAGTAAATAGTTGCTTCTGTGGGTGCCTTGTATCTTCTTGCTAGGGGTGGTACTGGGGGGGGGTCAAGGGAGGAGCAATAAGATGCAGTATGCTAACATGAAGATAAGCCAGGAAATTTACAGTAAGAAATGGATAACAATTTTCCATAATCTTCTCTCTTTTACTTTCTCTTGCACCCATGTGTAGTTGGTATATGGTTTCACTCTTCTGGCACAGCACATACCTCAATCAAGATATACCCTTATATTGTTTCCTTGGGGGAAGATTTCCATTACAAATATATTGTCACACTTGGTCTTTCTGTATTCAGGAAGTTACAAGACGTTCTTCCCATGGGATATATCAGTATGTAGATTATGTCACGTTTTCACGTTGTAATAAGAGCTGCTGTGGCTTGCATTGTATACACTGCAATGTATTTATTCTTCTTCCATCTGTTATGCATTTGTTGGTCCTCTTAAACAATAAATGAAGATTCAATCATCATTGTTTCTATATATTTCTGCTGGTGATGACAAGGAAATGTAAAAATAAAAAAAACCCTAACATTTCTTGCTACATGCTTTGTTCATCACACAGTTTCCATGTTATTGTCTAATGTACATGTTATATTGTGTCTGCTCAGTTTTAGGTCTGGGCTGTGTTTGCCATAATAGAGGAAGAGACAGCCTGGTCTCTTGCTGCTGAGCGGAAATTGTTCATCAGATAATAGCCAAAGTCTGCTTCATATTACCGTGGAATTGTGTAAGAACAGTACTCAAGTGCTGTACAGCATCACACTTCCGTAAATTTCAATGGCTAAAGGCAAGACACCACAAGCCATGCACTGATGTCAGCATAGTCTTCCAAGCTATCTTCAATCGGGACCCATGGGCTCATATACCATATGATTGGTATAAGTAAAAGTAGAGGCTACAGCTGAGGCTTTTCTGGAGAAACAAAAGTAACAGGAGGGTTGACATGGTATCTGCTCTTTGGCTAGAATGTTCCTTTTCAAAGATTTAATTGAAGTACGAGTGCACTGTGAACACAATCACTGTACTGTCTTACAACATAGTAAGCAGAGCATGTATAAGAAACAGGCATCTACAGCTATCTCAATGTACTATGAGGCACTGGCTGGGGGGCTTGTGCAGAAATGTCACCTGAGATTATCACCTACACACTGTGAGGGGCTCCAGGCTTGATGACCGATATGGACTTGTTGTTTTCTCAGAATCTTAAAGTAGTATTAAGCTCTCAAACTTTTTTCAGTAATGAATCCAGATCAAACAAATATAAATTGCCCACCAAAGCACTGCTTTACATTTTTGCACAAACACTTACAATCATCTTGTTTCTGAACAGCTGCTTTCAAGTCTCTCAGCTCAGCTTCCCTAAACTTCCTGTACAAGATCACAAAGGACAGTAAATACGCCAGTAACCGTTCATCTACTAGCTTGGAGAAGGGAGGAGAGTAGCTTGTTTTGCTGTGTCTGTGGGGGACGGACACACACGGACACACACACACACACGGGAGACGGCATAGCACTCTGCTTGAGAACGGTCAAGGCCAGTGCTCAGGGAACTAGCTGATTCTGCAGGAAACTAAAGCTTTTAAACATAAGGAAGCAGCATCCATTGTAGGTGATTTCATCAGAATTTGAAATAGCTTATAATCCTTCTGACTTTATTATCACTTTAAATCCTTCTGACTTTATTATCACTTTAAATCCTATTCTGGGTCCTGGAGCATTGTGGACTTTGTAGAGCATTGCTTGGAAATAAACCTTCCTTCCTATTCTACTTCTTACTTGGTAGCCAGACCTCAGCTGTGCACAGGCTTTTATACTGTATGTGTGAGCTGAATGATGCTCGCATGTCGCTCTCGCACTCTCTGTTGTAAGAGCCTGCTGCTGGGTGAAAACTCTGACTGCTGACAGAACACTAAAAAAGTACAAGCGCTGCCTCTTTGTTTTGGGAAACCCATGGAGGGGGTACCACTACTTCCAATACCAGTTTAGTTTGTCTCACCATACATACAATATGTATTTACAAAATATAAGCAGAAAAAAAGTAGTTTTTTAAAAAACTGGACATTTATTAAAAAACTAAAAATCTATTTCAGGTATATATTTTAAAAAATTGTTAAAACGTGTAGATTCCCTTTAACATGTTGGTCACACTAGCCAGGTCTGGTACTGCCACTGGAACTACAACATTACAGCGGGATCTGAACACACCCTCTGCTTCCTGATTGGACAAAAAGGGTGATGCAGCACACCTATGAGGTCCTCCTGTCAGTTTGTTTGCTGCCAGCTTACATGGACTGATGCAGAGCCTCTCTCCCAGTCCATCTGCTACTATTAAAAGGGATTACAGAAAGCTAATACGAAGACAGTTTTAGGTGCTTACCCTAGTTGCATAGTTGCATATAAAAACACTCTTACATTGTTTTTTTTTACGTCTACATACCGGTATTGCCAATTGTCTATATCTGCATGCCTAGTTACTGACGTTTTCTTTGGGTGACGTTAGAATTTAAATCTATTTCCAGGGATGGGTCCGTTCAAAGTCTATAAAAGGTCAACAAAATCCTTTGAGATATAATGGTGTCTGATTGAGAAGATGAGTCAGTTTTGTTTAAAATCATCTTAAAAGGTAAACAGATCCACCAACTTTGTGAAAGAGAAAATAAAGCAATGAAACTTCCAGTTTTAGTGTGACCATGCATGCTATTAACTGGAAAGCTGTAGGATAATATCAAAAATTTGATGACCATTCCTCCTACACTCGTCTCCACAATGCCCTTCAAATAGAGTTTAGGTGTAGGTGAACTGGGAAGCTCCTTAGACAGATATTTTTTTTTTTCAAATTCTTTATTTATAAACAAAGTGGTGGGATACAGAGATAATTCACATCGTATCTGGGCCACATGGCCGCACATTAAACCAAGGCAATGAACAAACTGACGATTAGTGTAGTGCCAAAAACAAACATTGTGAACCTCTCCAATCAAATCTTCTCAGACAATATCAGAGAATGTAAAGTACATACATAATATAAACAAGAACAACACTAGTCAGGTTGGACTCTCTTCCTCCCAGCCCCTTCAGCATTTTGTGGTATAAAACAAGAATAGGACAGTGTTCAGTGGTAGACCGCAAGATCCAGACCACTGACGTGGAAGGCCAGCATCAAAGTGGTCTACCCCAACCAACACACATTAATTAAACAAAACAGAACAAAACAACACAACACTGAGTAGGAAGAGAGTGAGAGATAGTGAACACATAAGGAAGGGTAAGGGAAGGTTCCAGGTGTTGGCCAACTCCAGGGCCTCCGGCAATGGTTACTCCTAGTCTTGCCCGGAGAGTGCAGCAGGGGGTTAGCTAGGACTCGCTCCGTCCTTCTGTTCTGGGCCTGCTCATAG